GACTGTGCAGAGCAGCAGTCACAGGGAAAAGAACGGCAGGAGAGGTAAATTGTCCTGACAAGGCTAAACTTCTACATGTACCTTCTACCTTTGATGTCTTGTGTTGAAATTTTCTTACACGCAGCATCTTTTTAAAGCCACTGAAACGGCCACCAATTAAGCTTTTGTGATTGCTGGCTTTTAAGGCCATTAATTGATGAGAAGGGAAAGAAAAAATTAAGTGCAATTTTGTAGCAAGCTTATTTTAAAACATAATTTTTCCCCATCTCAATTTTATCTTGACTAGTGTTCAAGCCTCTGTGAAATGGGCTGGTCACAAGCAAGTCTGTCAGTGTGTGGTCCCAGGCAGGTAGTTCTGGTGGGTGGGCAGAGGCCCAGTTGCCCTCAGAGCTGGTCATGGCTCTCACCTCTGCTGGCAGAAAAAGGGATGCTCATAGTTCTCAGCATAGCAGCTGGGTTAGATGTGGAATGACTCAAGGCATGAATCTGACTAAGAGTAACTCAAGGTTCTTATTGGAGAAAGAAGCAGATGAATCTGCCCTAAAGTACATTTTCATTTGTTTAAAGAAATGCTCATTACCCCCAATGAACCAGGATGTGTAACCCTTCCTAATAAAAAGAGGCCAAATTCTGGTGCTGGATTTGTGTATTTGGCCCTTGGTGTGCTCATTGAGATCTCAAATTTTATCTTTCTTCAGCAAGGTACCTAAGTACATGTTACATTTCAAAATGCATTCCAGTAGACACTTTTTCTCCTCCCAAAATACCCTCTTTGATTCCCATCTACCTTGAGCTTTTGTCAGTTCAGAGCCCTTCTCTAGAACAAGTTGCCACAATGAAAACCAGTATGGATTTCCAGTGTGTGACTGTAATTTGTAAATCCCCTAGCCCAATTCACCTGGCATTGCATTACATCTTAGTACAGTGATAATGGCAATGAGTGAGAGTGTTTTTGACAAAAATAAGCTGTTTATGCAGAAAAGTAAAGCATTCCACATCCTTGTGCTAGTTTGCCTTGCAGTAGCTTGATAATGAAGTGCAAGATGAGTCTGAATATATTTCAGCCACCTTGGGGCCTCATGAGGTGTTACCCAATAATGATTCCTTCCTCCAAGGCATACAAATAACATGGCAGTGCCTTGTATGGAATGTTGCTAAAAGCTAAATCTTTTATTGCTAAAAATCATGTACGTTGTTTTGCTCTATTTTTTTATTATGTTCATCAAAGTACAAACAACGATGCACATAGACCTGTTCATGATTTTGCTCACTACTAGTGGAGCACTATATAATTTATTCATATTTTTCCATGTGAAGCTTGAAGACTGATTGGTCCTGTGTGGTGCTGTTATACTCCCTTTATCGGGCTGGTCTTAAACACTGCTCAGAGGCCAACATGAGAGCCCTGTGAAGGATTTGGTTAAAGTAGGAAATTAATGCAGGAAAGTACAACTTCTGTGCTTTCCCTTGCTGTGTGCCAGCGATCTCAGCTGTCAGCTGGCTGCTTGTGTGCAGTATCAAAGGGAGTTTCAGAAGTGTACTGGGGACAGAACAAATTTGTAACATGTCTCTCCACCTGCCTGCATTTAAGATTTTATCTCTGTGGTCAGTGTAGCAGCCACACTGGCTTTTTGTGTCCTACAGGGAAGTTTCCCTTACCACTTCCCTTCCTGGTGCATCTGCCTAATTTGGCAATTCAGGCTCAGCCTAGCAGAAAGGGGACTGTGGCTCTGTTTTGGGCTTTACCTGTGCACAGTAAAAGGGAGAGAAGAATATCAAACAGTTGTGTTGTTAGAGCTCTGAGAAGTGCTAGCTATGTAAGTTACTAAGGAATAACCTTAAAAGCTTGCTAGGGAGAAGCTGATGAGACAAAGCTACATTTCTGAATACTTTTCCTCAAGTGACCTTTCCTGTCTCTAACTGTACAGGGTATGGTGACACCAGGTGCTTTCATGCTAGGCATAAACTCAGCAATCCTACCTCTACTTGTCTATATCCCTTCCCTTGTCCTGCACATTTCTACTTCTAGTAGCTGTTCAGCCAGGTGTTACTGATCTCTCTGGCAATTAACAGAGTTACTTTCTAGGCTCATGAGTAAGCTCAGTGCACTGCAACATGACCAATGGTGCCAACTTCTGATAGCACCCTTCCTGGACTGGCTTTGCTAAAATGCAAAACTGCTTTGTCAGTAAAAAGTCTATCGGAATGTTTGTGAAAAAAACCAAACCTGCTGCAGCTTCTGCTTCTTGAATGTTGCTTATAGTTACTTATTACAATAATGTAAAAAATCGCAGGTGCCTTCCCTATCAAGACTAAAGCAACAGAAGTTGTGACAGGTCTCTCTTTGTGCCACTGATGGTTTCAGCTGCCGGGCCAGGGATGTGGGGGAACAGCACAAAGAAAGTGATGGTGCCTGGGTCCTTAGATATTCCCACACAGAGCAGATTTTCATGGGGCTATGCATGGACTCAGTTATTGCATGGGCAGGGGTGCTGGCTTTTTCCCAGGGTTTATGCAAGACTCTGAGTCTCAGGAGGTTTAAGTGGGGAGTTTTGTCTGTCTGCATCTTCCTGAACAGAGCTCTGCTGAAAGCCTGGTGCCATTTGCCATGAAGATTAGGGGAAAGGACTGGTAGGGGAAAGGTGGTTAGCAAAGGTATTTGTCCCAAAAGCCATGGAGGAACCATGAGGTAACATCAGTCAAGTCAGACTTAGTTTTACTGTGCACCTTTAAGGCATTGCAGTTCTGTGTTACACTTGTGGGAGCTGACTTGAGACAAAGAGAAGACTCTGAAGCACTAATGCCACTGTAGCACTCTTTGACATTGCTGCTGAATAGTGGGAGTGTCTGTGTGGATGTTTTGTATCAGGCATAAGACAGAGAACAGCAGCTGTCATGTTTTAATTCAGGTCACTCCAAACAGAAGTGCTGTATTTGAATTATTTCTCATAAATCTTCTGTGTTTTTGCTTACAGAATCCTTTCAAGTTGTGGTAAGAGGCAATGGCTTTTATCATGCAAGAAATATCGACCAGGTACTCTGCAGCTTCAAGCTCAATGACAGCCTCACTATCAGTAAGTTTGCAGACTGATGGACTGTGGTGACCACTGTGGCTGTGTCACCTCATGGGCCATGGGCCAATTCTCATCCATGTAAAGGAGAGTCCTTGCAGCAGATGTGAGAGGGAGCTGGGGCAGAGGTGTTCACTTTAAAGAAGCTTGAAATTCATTCTTATTCAATGCAGTGACCTGTGGGCATTGTGTAGTGAGTGCTTGGATGGGGCATGCTGCTGCACAGTGACCTTAGCCCCATTGTAGTGATTGATGCACATGGGTGCTGCATGCAGCAAGACAGGACTGGGGATCAGGTTTTAAGATGGAAACTTAAAATTGCTTCCTATTCCCTTATTCATCACCAGTAAAAAGAAATATTGCTCTCTTGATCCCCTGGTGGTGTTTTCAGAGTTTTTATTCAGCAGTTCAGGAGACAATTGCCATAAACCCAGGCCTCCCAGGCATGCTCTGCTCCTCTCTGACACCAGTTGCTGCTCCCATCACAGTGACCATGTAACATGGAAAACTCTGTCATTGCTATGCTGAACAGGGTCTTTTGTTTGCTGTCTTAGCAGCCAGGCAAAGGACTGAATGGCCGAAAAAAGATGAAGTGTCCAGTTTCTCATTAGTCCTCTCTCATTCCTAATAAGCTATGTGTGTCTGGCAGAATGAAACCTGGTGTGGGGAGAGGAGCTCTGCTGCTTTTTCATATATGCTAGCCTTGTGGCCTGAGCACAGAAGAGGCTTTCATATACTGCCATGGCCAGACTGGTGCCTTCCCAAGCAGGGAATTCACTTACAAGAGGGAACACATGAATTGCTCCTTCATTTCCATTCCACTTGTCTATGTTGATGCTGCAGTCAGTCAGCTCTGGTGGTCTTGCACTTATTCCCCTTACAGATATGTCTTAACCAGGATTTGTTTTTTGTGGTTTATCAGTTAGACAGACCTTTTGCTTTTTCTTCCCTGACACAAATCATTAGCAGCTTGACTGGGCTTCACACTGTGAGTGCTGGCCTGAGCCTCGAAATACACAGAAGGAAAACTACTGTGATTCCATTCCAACTCCATGTTGTGTTTTCCTTGGGTTAAGTTTGCAACAGATGTTGTCATGAGATGCTGATCTATACTGGCTTTTTTCCTTCTCTCTATAACGTATCACTGATTTCCATGCCCTCATCTCTGCCAAGGAAGGGAAATGAGTTCTGTCTTCAGGTGTGCTTGAAGTGGGGAAGCATGAAAGAAAAACTCTTAGATCTGTTGTTGCTTGAGTTAATTTTTTCCTAGGTAAAAAGAGTAAACAGGCCTCAAAAGTATAAATAAGATGGCAGCCTTTGTCAGCCCTCTGTTCCCTTGGGTTTCACTCTTGTAGACCACTCTTTCTCCAGGCTGGCAGCACAGTTGCTTTGCTGGCCATTCAGAGCTAAGGTATAGTCACTGAAGCAGTGTGTCTGCTCTTGTGCCTCAGCTCCCACACTTTCAGTGGAGTGGCAGTACAGGATTACTCTTGGTCCTCCTGTCACAGTTATTCACAGGACTTGGCTTTCTGGATATGATTTTGAAAGCAACAGGATTAACACTGCTGAATCGTGGAGCAGTGGAGTGCAAGGAGATGAGAAGATGTGTGCCCTTGTGTTTAACCCTGCCTGCACCAAACCCTTATAAACGTGGGCTGTTTACAGATGATGCTGCCACAGAGGGGAAGTTGGGTCCAGGAGAAGCAGCTCGTGCAGAGCAGATCCCCATGATAACATCAGTCATGGCCCCTCTCTGCCTGTTTCCTGTAAATGACCAACCATCTCTCGGGTTTGTTTTTTTTTCCCCTAGAATTTTCCATTACAGATGTACTCCATCTCTCTCCTTCCTTTTTCTTGGGCTCAAACAGTGCAGCCTTGGATTCTCTTCTCTGTGTGTTTGGGCATAGATAGAAAAAATTGAACACTAAACTTTTGAGCCCTTGAGTAACTTGAGGGGTCAGACTATTCAGTGTGAATAGAAGTTGCATGTAATTTTCAGATAGTCATGATAAATACTGCTCAAAGCTGAATCCAAATGGCTGATCACTGCTGTCAGGAACAGAGATAAACTTCCAGTTCTTAGCTGTGGTATCTCTAGCCTGATAGCATCATGTTGGCATCAACATGAATTGTTATTCTAGTACTTGGATTTGTGATCAGCACCACTGGGGAGTATTGGTACTTGCCCATATATTGAGTTCATCTGTGGCTGTCATTGGTGCCAGCACTTCTCAAGGGGGTGGCCTGCTTGAAACAATTTATTTTTTTCATCCTTGATGGTTATATTAATTTCCTTTCAGATGAAAAGCCGACTTTTGTTCATGATACGTACTTGCTTTGCCCTGCCCCAGTGATAGAAGATGCTGGACAGTGAGTATTGCTTTTCAGCATGTGCTGAGAGTGGACTCCTGGGTGAAGGTGCCATTACTGAGCCAAAGGCTCAGGATTTTGCCCAAAGCGTCAAGCTAATAAATTTGTGTGTGTGTCATATTGCAGCCATCTCCTTTGTACCAAATCTTTTCCTAGTATGAGCCAGCACAGCTCAATTTAATGTTGGGTGTTCAGATGGTTTAAGCAAAGATCTTCTTGGACCATGGCCCCATATCATAAAATCACAGAATGGTGATTACACCTCTCTTCCTATATCCTGTTGTTTCAGACCAAAAGGTAATTGAATTCAAGAGTTTTAATTACCACCAAAATCAAAAACTTTTAATTTTGGTAGAAAGGAGGTGCTTGATTTTGATCCCTTTGCTGCTGTTGTATATGTTGCTTCCTGTATTTTGCTCTGCTATGGCTATCCTTTTTAATCCTGTAGACTTCAGGGAGATGTGGCAAAATGCCCTACTTTTCCTGTAGGTGATCTTATGGATGCTTAAATGCTGTACTGGGGCTATGGGTGAATGCTTCCCTTCCCTTATTTGTTGGTGACGGAAATTAAATTCGTGGGATTTTGTTTGGGTTTTTTTTATTATTACTTTAAATTTTTCTCCTCCTTTGGATCCTTTCTCTGATATTGGAGAATGTCTAGGGAAGATTCTTCTTGAATTTCACTGGCATTTCGGTGTTTTTACCCTTCTTGATCTCAGTGCAGGTGTTCTGGATTTGCTTGGATACAAAAGAACACATTCTGATTCATTGACAGAAGGGCTTCTTTAAATAAATAAAGAAGTCTTAAAGTTTCTTGTGCTACCTACAGTAGTATTGCTATTGTATTGCCATAGAGGTATTCTGTTATGACTCAGTGTCCTAGTGCCCTTTGCCCCAGGAGGGATGGGTTTTTTTAATAAAGAGCATATGTCCTAGCTCAACTAAGGTAACAGAAAAAGAGTGGCTGCTGGGCAAACAGGGAGACAAATGCAGGTAAGTGCCTGAGGCCATGAAAATGCCCTGACTCAACAGGATGTGCTCTCCATGCCTGCTCATAAACCAATGGTTAAAACGGAGACAGAGTGAAGGTAACAATGGGTGTAAAGATGACACTAAAAATAAACATATCTGTTTTGTGCTCTAGGGTGGTTTTTCTACAAGTCAGCATGAACAACGGGCTAACGTTCATCTCCAGCTCTGTCAGCATCACCAGCACGCATTGTGTGAGTAATTCCAATGGGGCTTGACAGAGGATCCATGAGACCTTGGAAAGAAATGGTTGTTCTTCAGGCAAAGCCTCCTTGAGTGAGCATGACCTCTCTGCAGCTTCTGTGTCACTGCCACTGACTGGATCCCAGCAGCTCTTGGGAAAATAACCAGGGCTACTTAAGATCAACTTGTTATTGATGATGGATATATCATAATAGATTTTCTGAGTAAAAAATTAGAATAAGAGGTACCCTTCCCATTCCTACCCCAGGAGAGGGATTCTCAAAACTAGGATCTTACCAGAAAGAGATCTGAGAAAATGATCGAGGGAGTATCAGGGAGAAGCTCTCTGTTGAACCTTGGGTTCCCTGATGGGATCTGGGGTAAAAGGGTACAACTGTTAGGACCTGTATCTGGAAAGGCCACAGAAGGAAAGGACAGTGATGTCTGTCCTACATCACGTGGTCAAAAAGACCAGGTGGAGTGTCGGGAAAAACAGCTAGAAGTGATTCTTTGTCAAAATCTGATTTTTAGAATCAAATAAGCAAAATTAGGGAACTGACTAATAGATAAAGAGTTGTCTTCCTTGCCTTGGGATAGAAATAAGGCAGTGCCCATAGCTGGTGTGAGCAAATACAGTAATTAAATATGTGACCTTGTGCTTGTGGTCTAAACCAAGTTGGCTGAAGTACCTGATAGCAGTTTGTATCATTGTTATTAGTGTCAAAAGGACTTTTATAGCCTATGCCAAATGCTGTCATATTGGTTTGTAATCATTGTTGGCCATTTTGACAGCTGAAGAACAGAAGGGCAGGAATGCAGATAGAGGTGACTGGAACTTGTAAATCTAATTTTCTGGTGTTTGCAGAATTGAAGGTGGGAAATACCACACCAGAATGCTGGAACAGTCTGGGTTGCAGGGACACAATAAAACAGAGATGTGTTCTATTTTGCTAAAACTTTCTTCCAAATTTTCCATATTGAGGACTGATATTTTCACATTTAATTCCGCTCTTTTTCCTCAGAGTAAGTCTTTCAAGTCTGAAGTGAAACACAAGTGTTAACTGGTGCATTTAGTTACCCATATGTAATCTATTTCTGATGAATACTGAAGTCTCAAACCTAACTGGGGATCCTAAAGGCCAGAGCATGGATGGAGGAAGCTTTTCCTTTTGGTAGCCTTAGGAGAAAAAGAGGAATCCAATCTCCAGTCATGTCAATCTCTGACAATTTTTGACCAGTCTCTTGCAAATTGAATGTGAAGGAGGCAGGAAGCCTGATTTGCAGCTGATACAAAAATACTGTCTTGCTCCTGTTAAGTCCCGTAAGCAGGGAGTTGGCTGTTCAGTTTCCAACTTTGTCTTAATTTCATGCATTTCACTCTTCTTATTTTAGAGACTGCCTCTATTTCCTTTCCTCTCCTGTTTCCTTTTCTGTGGGTGGCAGTCAGCTGGCCTGCTCAGCTCTCTTCCCCAGCTGGTCCTTCTGTCCTTTCTGTACAGTAAGTATCTTCACTGTAATCCTAAAGCCTCTGTGTGATCCTTGTGCTTATTTCTGTTCAGCTGTATGAAGTCTGCTATTTTCTTTTCAAAGTCCAGCTTCACTATGGTGCTTTGTATCATTAAAATCATTAAAAGAAGACTCTTTAGCTTCTCGCTGCCAGCAGCTCCTGAGCTACTGCTGGCAAATGTCTCAGCAATTTATATTTGCAGTTAGCACAGGAAAAGTGAAGCCTGGGAACAAAGGCTACAAAACAAGAGGTAATGTGTGTTTGGAGTAATGGTAGCAGTGGTACTGCATTGCTACTGTGCTTGGATTTGTTTTTAAGGAGGGCAGCGATATTTCTCCAAGTTATGCTTGATTTTTACTCACCCTTTTCTCAGCAAACTGACTTTACTGGGAATTAATTTCTCTTCAAGTATCTGCTTTCCAGATGCATTAGTTGTACATGGGGCCATGGGAGTGCCAGAGAGGGGGGCTTAGCATTGAACTGCAGCTGGGTACTGTGTCCTCTAACAGGACTTGTTTGAGCAGAGTCTGGCACATATTGGAGCAGTCCAGCTGCTCCCTGGCCAAAGGAAAATGAGCCACATAGCATAGCCTAAAACAGGTTGGTTTGTTGCATCTATAACAAAAAGGCCCAGAGCAGCCCACGGCATATGCTGTGACACAGATATGGGGCACTGGGTTACCTGCCTAAAAGCGTGGAGTAGGAGCTGGCTTTGTGTTAGTCCCGTATTGAACATGGCAGTCCTGACAGCTCTAGGAATTGGCCTGAGGGAGAACTAGGTACCACCTAAGCTGGTCATTCAGGATCTCACCCAGACTTTGCAAAACTCTTATCAGCTGGTTCTTTCCACCCTCAGCCTTTTCATTGTCTGAGGGGAAAACAAATGCACTTAGAATGGTGAAGGAAATCCCTCTTGTAAGAAGGGGTAAGCATCAGTTTCTGGTGTCATGGAAATTCAACAAGTAGTTTCAGATTTATTAAGGTGAATCTCATGGACTTCATCATGTAGAAATCACTTTTGGAATTTGGCTTCTTTCCCTTTATCTCACTTATCCTTTGAAAATCTCTTACAGCTTCCTCTCTAGCCAACTCTTCTTTCCTCAGCCTGATTGACAGACCTTTCTTCAAGCTCTTTTCACATTCTCCTAACCCCAGGCTTTCCTCTAGTTTCCTGCTATCTAGTGGGCTAAAAATACACCATAAATTCGTACATAAATTATACATATACACACTGCAAAGAGGAGATGCTTCCCACATTTTGTGACTTCAGATACTGATGTGATCCTAATGATTATAGTGATTGACTGCACAATCTACCTGAGACCTCGTAGTGAGGGAAAGCTGCCTCTAAGTGTGTAATTCAGGACTCCTGAATCTTTGAGACATGTAAAGGTAACTCAGAAATAATCATCTTGCTTGCAGCTGACTGGGACCATCCTTTTCATTGCTCTTCTGATTCTCTTCCTGCTGCTGGCTCTGGCTCTTCTGTGGTGGTTTTGGCCCCTTTGCTGCACAGTAGTAAGTACAGTTTTTTTATTCTGTTGACTTGGTTTCATCTATTCTCTGCCAAAGCACAGAGTTAAAGTGTTGGAGTGGGTGGTTAACGTTGCTTTAAAAAACACACCCCATTTGTATAACCCTGATTCAACAATTTGCTTAAAGTGCATGATGAAGTAACTCTCGTCTGGGTTTTTGATTGTTTCAAGGCTTATGTGATTTTTACATTGAATGAGGATTTTAAATAAACTCATGGATGTGACTTAAGTTTCTATAACGATGAAGACCTCCATTAGACCAGCTTTGAAACCTGCTGCATAGAAGTTTAATTGATGGAATTTGTGGAATTGATGTGGAATCAGTGGAATTGATTTACTAATGTGTGTATAAGATGTTACAGTCCTCTTTAAAGACAAGAGTTAGGGGTTTTTTTGCATTTTGTTGGTTGGGGTTTCTTTAATTTATTCAGAGGAGCTGCAGATTCTGAGATAATATCTTTGCACTAACTTGGTAATTATATGGGATTTTTCATCTCATCTGGGTTTATTTTCAATGGGGCTAATGAGAGGAGGGGAATAATTGAATGGGGCTAATGGGGGGGGGGCTAATTGAACAGAGGGCAAGGAAGCAGAGTGACTCATTTGTGGCATGGGCAAGACAGCAGGGAGAACATAGTATTGAGATGGATGAACCCTACCATTGTCTCAGGTTTCTCTATTGTTTGTTTATTCCAGGTGATCAAGGAGCCACCTCCACCACCTCCTCCAGAGCCTGTAAGTGCTATTTGTGGCACTGTCTGCAGCCACTCTAGTGTGTATACCATGCTGCCCAGGAATGTCAGCCCTGTAGGTGTCTTAATGACACCTTACAGGCTGGGAGAGGAAGTCCTCTGGGTCAGGACAGTTATTTCTGCCTTCTGGCCTCTTTATATACTTAGAGCAAAACTGCTTCTATCTGAGGTGAAAACAGTTGCATAACTTAAAAATGCACAGGCCAACAGTTCCTATGGTATTCTGTTCCTTCTGCTGTGCATCAAACAGGTGTGTAAGCAAATCTTTGCTTCTCAAGCTGTGCTGACAGCTGTCCCTCCTCTAGTAATGCTGCCATTGTTCTCAGCAGGAGTTTAGCCCAGATTGGTAGTAAGGAACAGTCTGGCAGCTGGAAAAAAGGACGGCAAAGGCCACATTCTTGTGGCTTTTGCTACAGGAGAGGAGACAAAAGCCTGCCCTGGCTGTGGCTCTTCTGCAGAGTGACCTTTGGAAGGACATTTAGCCTTTCTCCATTTAGGTTTTGAGCTGTTTGAGGCAGGATTGTATTTAGCTCTTTTGGGGACAGTAACTCGCTGACCCTGACCTCAGTTTAGATTCACCATACCAGTTTCATGAAAATAATAGTAGTAAATAAAAGCACCACCAGAGAAAACTTATGCCTGCCTTTATTTCTTTCCTAGGCATAGACAGTTAAATAATGGAAAAATTCTTGCCTAACCCACAAGAGAAGCTTACAGTTTACTGTTAACTTGCTGTAACTTGGCATGAATGTAAGGAGACAACCACAGCTGCTGTTTTGAGGTTTCTAGTGTGTATGTGATCCTGTTACTTGTCCTGAGCAGCAGCACTGTAACCATTTAACTTCTGAATGCACACTAGAATTTGTGCTGGGGTTAGAGTGATTAGTGCTATCACAAAGCCTGCAGTTGCAGCCATGCTGCACTTGAAGGAGGTTTCAGAGAGCATCACACCCCTGCAGAAGGTCCAGATACTTTACAATTTTAAATGCAATCAAAGAGCATGAACTGATATAAGCCACAGGAATAACAAAGAATACAGATGTTATCCCTTTTCTTGGCCTTGTCTTTTATCCAGTATGGGTTGTAATAATTGTAACTGTGTAATGGATTTCATCACATTTAGTATTAGGCTCCCTAGGTATGGTGACCTGCCCTTCAGCTGATAATGTGGTATTGCTACTATTAAACTGAATATAGGTGTATTTATATCAAACTTGTTCTAAAACATGAGTGTTAGATTTCCATGTAGTAGCTGTTAATGTTTCTTTGCTGTGTGTTCAGTGTAGTGGATATTTGGCATAAATCCTTTATCAACTGGAAAAGTGTAGCTGTTACTATTGAATCTGTCCTGCTGGAGTCACGCTTGTCAGCAGTAAGAGCTGTTAGCCATGAACACTTGAAATCTGTGTTACATTGCATGGAAGAGGCAGAGTATCTTACGTAATACTCATGCTCACAATGAAATCAAATATAAATGAATTAAAAATGCTGATGCAGTTCATGGGGTTTAGATGTGGCGCATGAAATGAGATAAAATTGGTGTATTTGTTGTAATCTCAAAAAAAGCTTACTGAAACAACTCCAAACCCAATACTAAACCACAGTATAGTACCTTCATTGTATATTTATTTCCCCAAGTTAGGATAAAAACAAAATAACAAGAACAACAAAAAAAAAAAGGTAAAACAAACACCAAAAAGCCAAACCACAACAATAAAAAAACCAAACTCCCCTTACTAGTTTTTGCAAATGTCAACTCTAGTCTTGCCTGGCTGTACTAAAGAATTTGTTGGAGGAACTGACTTGTTGCACTGTAGCTGAGAGACCACATGTCACTGAGTAACTGGTGGATATACCTTCCTCCAAGGCATAACCTAAGAGGTAAATACAAACAAACAATTTTTTTTTAAAAAAAAATTTGTCTTTTGGCTCTTAATTCCATTAGAAACATGTAGGGCAATTTTGTGAAAATGCCATCTAGTAATTATACAGTAATTTATATCTCTCTATAGTATTTGGCTTTCAGTTGATTTTTTGTTTGGGTTTTTTTTTTTTTTTTTTTTTTTTTTTTTCTGCATAGCATAGTGCCAAACTAGTATATGTACAATTCACCTGTACTTTGCCTTTCCTTACAAATCAAATGGGATTTTGGAGCTCAATGCATATTTGATTAAATAAAAGCAGCCTGGGCAGAGGAATAGGCAATCCTGTCTGACTTCCCTAGTCAAAACTGCAGCTGCAGAGACAAGAGACTTTTTTGGCTTTTGCCAGTAAATAAGCATATCATACAAATCCAGATATCCAAGGATTGGGTGTTCAGCGGTTTTCCACGTTTTATTCTTTTGATGTGAGAACAGCATTAATGTCTCTCTGTCTTCCCACAGGACTCGGATGATGAAGATGGATTGCCAAAGAAGAAGTGGCCAACCGTGGATGCATCTTATTATGGAGGTCGAGGTGTTGGTGGGATTAAGAGGATGGAGGTACTTGGCTTAATTTTTAGTGTTGTAAACCCCAGCACATTTAATTGAAAATTGTAACACTATGTTTTCATGTGATTTTTGAAGAGGACCCGAGACTGGGATTTAATCAGGGCTTGTCTACTTAATTGGCACCTGCTGTCCAAGTAACAGGCATCAAGCTGCTATCATTCGCATGAATAATTAAATGAATCTAGCATTATGAGCCAGAGAAATTTTGCAGGTTAAGAAATGAGATAAGCACCAAAAGAAGTTTTAATCTCATGGGTCAAACCCTTTGATGCAGTTGCAACCAGTTCTCTTGCCAGGAAATTCAGGCAAAGCTACATTGGTTTTATATTTGAGGGTGCTGTCTATGCAGTGCCTGGTTCCTATGGAAGGGGAAGCTTCTCTACAAGTTCCTGCAAGACTGCAGATGAAGTATTGCATCTTAATATCTTTAACCATTTTCCTTGAAAGAATTTTATTCTTTATGCTGAGAATGTATGATGACTGTGAAACCATGGATCATATATTGTTCTTGAATGCAGAGTCACTTTTCTGCTTGAGCTAAGTCAGACAAAAAATCAGATATTAAGATACTAGATATTGGGAAAAATTTCTTCACTGAAAGGATGATTAGGAGTTGGAACAGGCTGTTCAGGGAAGTGATGGAATCCCCATTCCTGGAAGCATTGACAAGGTGTGTGGATATGGCACTTGAGATTGAGTTAACCCAGCACCATTAAACCAACCTAGAGCTCTTACCAACCTTAATGATTCTCATCTGCCCCAGATGCTGTGAATTTCCACAACACCTTAGATTACTGGAATGTGCAAAGACTTGTAGTTCCAGCAGTTTTTGAATCAGGCTATTTTATTCTTAAATGTGTATATCTGATTACAGTGAGAATTTGGTGCTTTCATAAATTTGACTTAACTCCTGGTAGCACTTGGTCATCTGATGGGAACTAGATTAATATCTGTGGAAACCATCAGCTGGTGGAGACTGCTGAAGTGTCCTCTTACAGTGTGCTCTCCTGACATCAGGTGCGATGGGGAGACAAGGGGTCAACAGAAGAAGGAGCAAAATTGGAGAAACCCAAAAATGCTATTATTAAGCTGCCAGAACAGGAGTATGAGCCTTGGGAACCCAAGCCAAAGAAGCCCCATGTGAGAAAACCACCTTCCCAGAGAAAATGGTACACTCCAATCAAGGTAATGTGTCTGACCCTCTATTTTACCAAGTCTCTCATGTCACATAAGATACTATATCCCACTTTCTTTGCACTGCTTTTCTTTCAGCAGAGCTGAGAGAGCCTATTTAGAAAAGTGGCCATTAATCCTCACCTTTGTCTGGTTTTGGAAAACGTATTTCACATTTTTTTGAGAAGAGTAGAGGGTGTGAGCAGAGATCTTCCTCACCTCACAGTCTTTTCAGGAATTCTTGTAACAGCAGATCCCTTGAACCTTAGAGGAGGGCAGATACTGTTTTGTGCCACCTCAAAGCAGCATAGAAAAGGATTGGATAAAGGGCACTGTCCTTGCTTTGACTGCATTGTGGCTAAGGGCTTGGGTTGAGATCAAGCTCTGTTTCCCCCTAGTTCAACCACAATACAGTAGTGTTTGATTTTTGGGCAAGTCACTCAGTCTCTCCATATTTTAATCCTCAATTCTCCCATGTCATTATAATATCTAGTGTTTCAAAGTCTTTTAATGTATGTATCCTCACACAACCCTAAAGGCAGGGAAGAGCTGTTATCTCTGCTTACAGAGAAGGAAGCTGGAGGGCTAGCACAGTCAAGGCTGCAGCATAACATGCTCATCCCAGGAATCTATGGCCATGTCCAAAGGAGTGCTTTGTGGGATGAGTTCCCCCTCCCCTGCTTACTCACAGATCAGTTAAACAGTGCTTGAATGTTTCTGGAAAGCATCTGTGAATTTTAAAGCCTACCTAGGCAGGTATTCTTGTGGCTGTTTATCCATTCTGTAGTTCCCTTCCCATCTGTATTGTACTTTTGTTCTGCCTTTTGTAACACCTACAAACACCTAAAGTAAGATCAGCACTTTAAAATAATCCCTGTCTAATTGTGCCTCTTAAGGGAGTTGTTCACATTAATCTACTCTCATCCTCACTGCATATTGGGTATTTGGCTTACTGTGTATTGGATATTATCCCACTAGGTTTCTTCTGGTTCTCCAGATAAACAGTGTACCGAGGCCAGGGTGCAGGACCAGTGTGTGCAGACAGCTTAATACAGAAAAGGTGTACCAACCCACCTGTTGTTTAATCTCATGCTATTTTCACCACATTTCTTGGTCATATCTTGTCTCTTTTTTTTTTTTTTTTTTTTTTTTTTTTTTTTTTTTTTTTTTAAATTGCAGGGTAAACTTGATGCACTGTGGGCTTTAGTTCGACGAGGCTATGACCAAGTCTCTCTTATGAGACCACAACCAGGGGATAAGGTAAGGCATCTCAAATGCACTGGCATCACTCCTCTGTTAATAGCAGCAATGTTCTTCCCTCACAATCAGCCCATCTTTTTTTTTTCATAAGCTTGTCTCCTTTCACATTGCCCTACAGCTAAAAGCGAAACATTTTTAATGTTTCTTGGATTTAATAATGGAGTTCAATGATTACTCAGAAATCATGAACTGTAGAGATGATGAAAAAACAAATCATAGCAAGGTTAATGGAGAACAAGTTGGTATTGAATTGTGTGCAGATGCATTTCTCAGCCATCTCCTATACATAGGCAAGGAGTATCTCTTGCCTTGATGAAGTCTATTGGCCAAAAGTAGGTCAGGAGTAGACTCCTCTTGGTAGGAAGCAGGGAGTTTTTGCTTTTCAGAGCCACAAAGATGTGTACTGTGTACTGTCCCTGTGTCACTGGCAATAGCTGAGTTCACAGCTCTCAGTTTCCCCATGTGAGCCTGGCACTGTAATGGTCCCCTCTGTTTTGTTATTCTGAGGGGACAGCTCCCTCAGAATTGAATGCTGCTGCTTTGAGCTGTTTCACCATCAAGGTTTTTCCTTCTGCAATGGTTCTTTGTAACATGAGAACCAAGCAGACACAACAGCATTTTTCTCTCCCCTGTGGGCAGAGTCCATACATTTCATCACCTTGGCTCTCAGGTGAGATTACAGAGTTACAGCAATAGGGTCCATAAAGGGCTTTTTTGGGGATAGCACTGCTGCAGATGCCCAGGCTTGTTTGCCTGGGTAGTTTTCACACCTAATGACAGACTTTAAAAGTGGCTCTAATTTGCATCAACTAGGGCAGTAAGTTGCATGTCTCTTGCTTTTGGCAAAATATTATGTCAATTGTCTTGTCATTAACCAAACATGCTGCATCAGTGTTTAAAGTTTCATCTCTTCCATTTTTCTTTTGGCACATAAGGAGACCAAAAGAACAAACCTAGCTTCTTACACTACTTTATAAAATGATCTTAAATGTTTCACTGAGCTGCATTTTCAAGGCAGCTGTGCTTGAGACACCTTATTTACTTTTTAAGCACGGTCTAGAGCTTCTGAATAGGCTCTTTAGGTCCAGCTGTATTTTGATAGCACTAACATTGTATAATATGAATCTATCCTCTGCCTTTCACTCCCTTGGCTGGGACATTTCTATCAGTGCAGAGCACAACAGAACCTCTGTTAGCCAGTGTGGTCAAGAAACATGTAGGGGGCTGGCTCAGAACAGGGATCCTCAGTTCCTTGCCTTCCAGCTCTGCTGTGGGGAGAACAAGGGGCTGAAAAGAGCCAATGTAAAACAGCAAGCTGAAGGATTATTGTATCAGGGATAACATAAGAAAATCAAATGTACATCTGAGAAATAGGGTGGAAAGAATCCTATTGAGCCAGATCCAGTGGAATCATAGAATCATCTCTGTTCCCTGGCCTGTGAGATTAACTAAGGCTGAAGAATATTAAAAATGAAACAAGAAAAATAACTAGACAGCCTTCTGTTGTTAAAAAAAAAAAAGGGATATCACAGGCCTGTATTTCATGGAGGAAACCAGCACAGAAAGGAGCAAGTTTATTATTTATTCTCTGAGTAACTTCTCTAGTAGCAGTCTCTCTGTGGATGATTGACTGCTTGTAAGTTAGGTGTTTGCTGGGGATGTGTATAAATCCACCTGTACGTGCACAAAAGTAAATGTGAGCATACACACATGTGAACACATCATTGTGACTGAAGAACTGGAGATCAGTGCTGGGAGTGACCAGCTTGGAGCTCTGGCAGCCCCAGGAGCAAGGCCAGAGCTCTGCTTGCTCAGCCCAGGCAGGACAAGGTCACTCGTTGTCCGGCTGTGCTGGCAGCAGTCACAGAATTCAGCCTGGGGAGAATCAATGTCCATCCTGCCTGGGTGCATTGTGTCCTTGCAGACTCTGCCATCCACAGGCCAGGGACTGCGTGGTCATCTTGGAGCAAGAGATTGCTTAGGTTTGTGTGGTTTTGAAGGAGCAGGGGAAAGAGTTCTTGGTGGGATCTAAGTGCACCTTTTTCAATTTTATTTTAAGGTCATTTCATAGCTGTCTTGGTTGTTCAGGAAATTGTAGAGCTTAGAAAGTAAAAGGAACGCAATTTAACTGTGTTTTGGGAGTGACATTTGGATATATAACTCAGAAAAGTCCTAAATCTGAAGTTTCCAGAATCAAAGAAGTTATTCCCTTTATATTTTCAGGGATTACCAGAGATAAAGGTTGTTTCCCACTGGAACAAGATTCACTGAAGTTAAATTTTCCAAATTTCTGTTGCACGGTTTACCTCCATTTTTAAAAAAAAGTTTCCTTTTTTCATTTTTCCTGCTTATGTTCCTGGGCATATATTCCTTTTTGCAGCCATTGGATGAAAGTATGGCAAACCACCTTTTTCTGCATAGTGAAAATACTCATGAAGAAGAGAGCATCTGTAGGACAGGAAAAAAAGGAAGATGAAAAAGGAGATATATCTATCTATTTTTTTTTTTAATTAAAGCAATCTTTAGAAACTTTTTTGAAAAGTGCAACTTCTTCATCACTTGAAAATGTCTGTTGTGAATTGAGAGCTTTTCTCCCCCTCAAAAACCTGAAAAATATTGTTGGCAAAACTTTGTAATAGTTTTGTTGGTTTTGGTGTATTCACCAATGTATGTAACTGTGTCACAGAGAAGCAGAAGTCTGTCACACTTTTTGAGACTGTTCAGTGTCTTTCCCCACAACACAGGCCTTGTCTCTTTGCATCTGCAAACCATACAGCAACAGCTCTCCCAGATTTTAAAATCATGACTTCTTACCCATTCCCATCATGAGGTGAAGTTAAAAATAGCACTGCTTGTATATTTTTGAGTCTTCATGTGGGGAAGCCCATTCCAGAGTGTATGTGAGAACCTTGCAGCAGAAATCCAGGCTGAAGCATGTGTGCAGTAAATGGGACTGACAGCTGCAAGGGTTCTGTTGTCCTTTCCTGTGAGTGAGCAGGTCTGCTGTCCATCCATCTGTTTTTCTTCCTTTATCATGGTCCTGTTGCCATTCCCCATCCTGCTCTTTTCCTTACCTGTGCCCTGCTTGGTCTCCTGCCCTAGACATTGCCTTCCATTTCCTTCTGTGGTTTCTTCCTCATTTTCTGCCTCAGTTCTTGTTTGCATGCCTCTCCCCTCGATGAGACAGACTGATTCCCTGCAGTTCTGTCTTTGGGAGCAATAGACTGGTCCCCTGCCTCCTTACCCTGTTGCTCTCATGCTGCAGGACCTGAGCTGCTGGTAGCACCATGCTCTGGGCTCTAGCCTTGCTGCAGAGCTGGCTGAAGCTCTGAGAGCTCCCCTGCCCTTGCTCATGTCTTCCATGAACTTATCAAGAAGTGGATCTCAGGATGGATGATTCATCAGTATTAGGCAGGGTTATATTAATAGGACTGTATTAATCCTTGTGAAAATCACAGGAGCTTTTTGGAACTGCCTATTTAAAGTAAATTATCCAAGCACAAGCTCTGGTGCTCCTTCTCCTGTGTGCCCACAGTGTTTTGCTTGGCTCTTACAGACAGCTCCTCCTCTCTGTCTCCATTCAAGATCATGCCATAGCAGCACCACTGAAATTTATTAGTTTGGCAAGAACCTCAGTAAAGGGTCACAGGATCCTGCTCACTTGACTTCCTCAGGTCACCTCTAGCAGGAATTTCTGTTGCACCAGGATGGGACAACAAGGGATCAACACACTTAGCTCTACCCCATCATTAGCAGCCAGGCTGTTATTTGTGGCATGGAGTTTTGCTGAGCTCTCAGACAGCATCAGCAGAGGAGTGAAGTGATGAAAAAGGACTTGTGGCTTTGTGGTGGGTTGCTGGGCCCTCTGCTTTGCTGGAATGTACAAAGGTGAAGCCTTCATAGGCATTTGTGCTACTGCTGCAGTGGTGGATCCCTTATTATTCTTCCCACCCTTCCTCAGAAATCTGTGTCTCAGAGGACCAGCAGTCACTCTTCTGGCCCACGAAAGGGAGTGACAGCTCTGAGGTGGGGACACTGCTCATCCAGGCACAGGAGTATGTCACAGTGCCCACATGGCCTCATTGGGCTCTGTGTTGCTTGAGATATTCAGGTTTCCTTCAAGACTTTCCCATCATGTTGGTGTTCTGAGCTTGCAGCAGCTGCTGTGAAGGTTGGAGCTTGGGAAATATTAGCTATCTTTAAATATTTTATCCAAGCCAATCACAGTAGCTGGTAAGGCAGGTTGTCAATAGTCTCTGCAAATGGTAGGTTTCAAGCTCTTCCTTGGCCTCATTGTTGAAAAATGGGCTGTTACCAATGGCAGCAGGTAAATATTGAAAGCCCCAGTATATGCAGAGAGGAAAGGGAGATGCTTTCCAATGGTGTTATCTGCTGCTTTCAGCAATTCCATTCTATTTTGCCTCTCAGCACGTACTGATTGATGCAGGAAATTCTTAGAGGCTTGGTTTACCAAAGTCCTTGACTAAAACCCCAACGTTTTTCCCCTCAGGCAAAATTGACCATTTACTTTAAAGACTTAAAACCTGATCTCATTATTTTCACTGAAAATTTTGTAGCTGCAACAGGGAGTGTAGACTGGATTTTGCTGTCACCATCCCCTGATATACCCTGGGTCTTTACTTAGAAAAAAACAATGCCTTAATAGTGCTACCTGTGGTTTGTACATGTAGAGCCCTTTCCTGGGGAAGGGGCCTAGAAGTAGGCTGTTGTACAAAACTCTGAGAGTCCTTTTTGCCTTTTTCTCTTCCATAAAACTGAGACTAAATGCTCAGACAAAAATGTCACAAACTATGAGCTGCTGGTCATTTTAGAAGCCGGCACTTCTGGATCCTCTCAAATTCTAACCCTTGAGTTACAGTGTGACTTGGAACAGGGCATAGCAGCTGGAATTTTAAACAGCAGCCTTTGGAATGAGGACTATGTGGGTTCCTTATTCTGTGCATCCTTTCCAGAGTGATCACTCTTAGTCTGATCAGACT